CAGGGGATGAGAAGGACGCATCCAAGAGGCCAGCATCTAAGTTTGCGAGGCCACGTAGGCCAGCAGCTAAGAGTGCGAGGCCTCAAAGGTTGAGGTCTAGATCAGGACTGCCTGGGGTGAAAAGAGCTAGAAAATCCCTAGGAGCCTCAGCTGTGGAAGCTAAGAAACCAAGGGAGGCTGTAAGGCCCAAAAACTACGCAAAGGTTGCGCAAGGACAGTTGGTAGCGGTAGTTCCTGTCGACTACCCGCAGATCCAGCTAACTTATGACCAATGCGAAGACTTAAAAGAAGCAATCGCAAGTAAAATTGACGAACTCACAATAGGCGGTGACATACATCCTAAGTTCGACGGGGCGCTGTTTAAGCTCGGAGGATGTCTTGTATCCTGCCTAGACAACCATACGGTGGAATGGTTTAGAAGTATAACACCGAGCATCACAATTAAAGAAGGATTAACCCTACGAACTTGTGAAGCAGGTGATCTCACAAAAATCATCAGGATTGGAGCCTTCTTTCCAGGAAAGGCACTACCTGCTGATTATTATTTAACTCGGCTCCAGATTCAGAACCAATCCATTACTGGGATTAAAACCTGGACCGTGTTTAACTTCAAGGCTCTGGAAAGAGGATCTTTTGGAGTTTTCAACATACCGGAGACTAGCCTCCAGAGCCTAACGGAACATGGAATGCAGGCCTGCTGTGGGATATACGTTATCACCTTCAGGTTTCTAGCATCAGGAAGTAAACCTGCTCCGGAGGAGATGAAAGAGGAGGCGCCGAAAGCAGGTACATCAAAGGAGATGGAGAGCAAGGAATCTTCCTCTTCGGGAAGGAGTGCGTCGAGGACGGGGTCGAGGCCGTCGGCTGGGGCAGGAGGCGGGGCTAAGCCAAAGGAACCAGTGAAAACTGGTTGCAGAGGCGAACCCCAGCCACTGTCGCGGTCAGGTGGCCAGACCTCTGTCTCGCGGCACCCATCTAACACTGGTGGTGGTTTGAAAGCGAGGCCGAGAGGCGGGGAGAAACCCAAAGACAAAGTGAAAACTGAGTCGGAGGGAAGAACCCTACCATCGGCCCCGTCTGGAAAACCACCTTCCAGAACATAAAAAACAAAAAAACAATCAAAATATATGAAACTGCTGCAGATCAATATCCACCACTGCATTGCGGCATGTGGAGTGTTGCAACAGTACATAAAAGGTAACGATATTGATATTATATTAATTCTTGAACCTTACTTATATGAAGGCAGGATCAAAGGACTAAATATGCAGGGGTATGGAATAATATCTGCACCCACATATCCTAGAGCCTGCCTACTCTTTAAAAACAAACTAAAACTGCTGCCTCTATGGCAATTTTGTTCTAGAGATCTTGCAGCAGCCAAATATACCCAACAAGGATATAACAAATCACTAATCATAGCGGCGGTTTACCTGCCATATGAACATCCAGAGCCTGAAGAAGGAATGGATGAACTACTAAAGAGTAAGGAAGAAATTGTTGCTGCCCTGGATGCTAATGCACACAACGAGATCTGGGGAAGCACAAACACCAACTCTAGAGGTGAGAAACTCTTAGAGACTATTATTAAATATGATCTTGATATTCTGAACAGGGGGAATAAGCCTACCTTTTGTAACAGAATTAGGACTGAGATCATAGACATAACACTAGCGACTCAATTGACTAGTGACCTTATAGATAACTGGCATGTCTCTGATGAAGAAACATGCTCGGATCACAGATATATCAGATTTGATATATCTGATAGAATACAACATGATGTGGAATATAGAGACCCTAAGCGAACAAACTGGGTGTCCTATAGTTCTAACTTGGAGGAGGCTGTCAAATGCTGCCCCAAAGTTATCCACAATACATGGCAATTGGAAATATTAAATACTTCAATTACTGATGCTATGACTAGAGCATATTTGGCCAGTAATGAAGCTAAAAAAACTACAACCAACAGGAAAGTGTCCTGGTGGAATGATAGTCTAACAAAGCAAAGAGCACTCATGAGGAGATTGTTTAATGCTTCTAAAAAATCTGGCAATTGGGATACATACAGGAAATCTCTTACTGAGTATCACAAATCTGTCAGGAAAGCCAAAAGACAAGCCTGGAAAAGGTTTTGTCTGGAGGTGGATAACATGCCGGCGGTATGTAAGGTAAACAAAATACTGTCAAAACAAACCAATTCAGGTATAATGGGAACACTCAAATATGACGATAAGCACACCACGAATGAGATAGAAACATTGAGTGTGGTAGCAAAAGCTCATTTCCCAAATTGTTTTACGACAGTAAATGAACTTCTCGACCCCAATACACAGGATCGTGGTACTGGCGCACGTATGTGGGGTCAGGCAAGAAGAGTGATAACAAACAGTAGACTTGAATGGGCAGTGAATTCGTTCTCTCCTTTCAAGTCTGCTGGAATGGATGAGATCTTTCCAGCACTGCTGCAGAAGGGTCTCCCAGAAATAAGGCCATACCTTCTGGAACTTCTAAGAGGTAGCCTAGCACTGGGATATCTACCATGTAAGTGGAGGATATCCAAAGTGCGATACATTCCTAAACCAGGAAAGGAATCTTATGAAGATCCCAAGGCATTTAGGCCAATATGTCTGTCATCTTTCTTAATGAAGACATTGGAAAAGATACTGGACAGACATATTAGGGAACACATATTGGCTACTAGTCCAATACATTCAAAGCAATATGCCTACCAACCAGGAAAATCCTGTGAGGTGGCGCTTCACAACTTGGTAACAAGAATTGAGAAATCCTTAGAACAGAGTGAAATCATGATAGGCGTCTTCGTTGATATCGAGGGTGCCTTTGATAGAACTCCCTATAACATCATAAATGATGCGCTAAGGAAAAAAGATATAGACGCTATGACCTCCAGATGGATTGGGAGAATGCTGGAGGACAGAGTTCTAAAATCAGAAATAGGGCACAAGGAACTGTGGATTAAACCCTGTGGGGGATGTCCTCAGGGAGGTGTGCTCTCTCCATTACTGTGGTGTTTTGTGGCTGACTCATTATTGGAAGCCTTAAACACTGCAGGCATTTATGCTCAGGGATATGCTGACGATATTGCCATCCTCATAGGAGGGAGGCATCAGAGTGTCCTCTCTGATATCCTCAGTACAGTGTTCAATATTCTTAGGAATTGGTGCAGGATTAAAGGACTAAGCATCAACCCTAGGAAAATCAATGTGTGTATCTTCACCAAGAAGAAGAAGGTGGCTATTAAAATGCCGGAAATCAATGGTATACAAGTGACACTGAGTAAGGAAGTAAAGCACCTTGGAGTCACTTTGGACCATAAACTGACATGGACTAAACACGTTCAAAACGTGACAAGTAAAGCCCTCAAATGCCTATGGGCCTGTAAAAGAGCGATAGGAAAGAATTGGGGGCTAAAACCAAAAATGGTATACTGGCTGTACACAACAACAGTCAGACCTATCATACTTTACTCAGCTTTGCTATGGTGGCACAAAGCAAAGACTGTAGCCAATGTATCCTTATTAGGAAAGATCCAAAGGCTTGCTTGTATAATGATAACAGGCGCAATGAGCACGACACCGACGGCTGCTATGGAGGTGATGCTTGGCATGCCCCCGCTGCAGCTGGAGGTGGAGGCTCGGGCAACAGTTACACTGTACAGGATAAGCAAGTCAACTTACTGCTCAACAGTCCCCTGTCAGGGAGGACACACAACACTGCTGAACAGGATTGGAAGTGAAAGAGTGCTAGCTATGCACTCTGACACTCTAATCCGAGAACATCAGTACCGGAAATATAAGGTTGAGATAGATAGCAGCAGAATTCATAAACCAAATAGTGGAATAAATTGCTACACAGATGGCTCTCTAACAGCCTTCGGCTCTGGAGCAGGCATCTATCGCAAAGATATAAAAGAAAAAATTTCTATACCACTTGGCAGGTATGCTTCAGTGTTTCAATCCGAGATACTGGCAATCTGCCATTGTGTACAAAACCTACTGCAAACCAATGTGACTGAGAAAAGGATCACCATCTTTACTGACAGTCAGGCAGCAATAGGTGCTCTTGACAATTATTATGTTTATTCAAAGGTCGTTAAGGAATGCAATAGAGCACTTAACGAGCTAACTGAGCACAACAGAGTTGCAGTGGAGTGGGTGCCAGGCCATTCTGGCATACCGGGCAACGAAATGGCTGATGAGCAAGCCAGGTTGGGCTCAGATACTATTCCTATAACTCCCGAGCCTGTCTGTGGAATCAGCCTTAGTACTGCCAAGGGCAGGATCAGGGAGATCTATGGGAACAAATTTAGGAATTACTGGACCGACAAGAAACAGAGACACTCGAAGCTGTTCCTTAAAGGCCCATGTAAAAAAAGGAGTGAACAGCTACTGAACATGGACAGAGCAGCTCTCAAAAAACTCACAGCGATCTACACAGGTCACTGTAAGTTAAATAATCATATGTTCAATCTCCGAGTAATGACGAATCCGATATGCAGATTCTGTCAGGAGGAGAATGAAACAGCTTTTCACATCATATGCAGATGTGACAAGTTTATAAGGCTGAGACTGGCGTTATTTGGGGAGGAACAGATGGATCTCCCCAGTAGATTTGAGTCGGTTAACCCAACCAGCCTACTGAGATACGCGGAAGCGACAGGACTAACGTTTTGAATAAGACGACCTAGCGAATATTGGCGCACAATGGACCCAAAGGGGTCGACGTGCTTAAAGCCAAAAAAAAAAAAATATAAATCACAGACATCTAGCATCCGTCCTAAAATCTACCTAGATGATCATTGAGACGGACAAAAACGATCCATTGCTTTAAAAATAAAACTGAATTCTGTTTTATAAAGTTATTTTGAAATGCTAATAAACTTTATAATTTATACAGATTCTAAGTGAAAATAAGCAGACTATAACAAAATGCATACCATTCAGGCACATATCAAGACTGAGATATATATATAACAATAATGAAGTTTTTTATTTCTGGTTTATAAATTTATTTATTGAAGTAAATCTTTACTCACGAAGATGATGATGAAGAGGACCCAGAACTAGATGAGGAGTCTGATGAGCGACTCCTATTCCTACGCACAGTAGGGGAGGCCAGGGCAGTCCTATCAATGGGCGACATGTCCTCTTTCCTAGGAGGGGTGACATCAGGGCTCGAGACAGACTCAGGTTTCACCGCAACAGCAGCTGCTTTCTCAAGGCTCTCCTTTGCCTTAGCAGCCAGCCCTGATTTCAACTTCTTCAAGGATTCCATTTCCTTTTCAGTTACATCTTGTTCTAATTCTCGCTCACTACCAACAGCTTCTTCTTCCCCACTTGAATCATGTAGCCTAACAACTGGCTTTGGCTTCAAGATTTCTTTGTACCTCTCTGGATACTTTTCAACAGGAGAATAACTTAAACTAGACCTCGAACTCGACCTCCTTCCAGTTTTATTCTTCTCCAATTTTACTTTATCTTTTGTAGGAGATTTTTCTTTAGAAACGCTCTTCTTTTTGTCCAATCTACTTGGCATTGGGCTTTTAGAAGGAGATGGTAATTTTCTTGTGGAACTATCAGATCTCTCACGCTTATTTTCTTTCAGTAATTTTTTCTTTTCTTCCTCATTGACCGACAATTCTCGTTTATTTTTAACGGCTGTGTCTAACTTTTTCGGTTGTTCACTCGATTCCCTACTCACTGATTTTTCTTTTCTGAACTTGTCTTTCATTTCCTTATAACGAGACTCACCAATAGTTCGATTTTGAATCTTACTATCTTTTTCATCTTTATAACTAAATGATTTTGATTCAGTCTTTTCTTTACTTCTTCTACTCAAAGGCTCAGGGGAGCCCTTGCTTCTACTAGCAGAGCGACTTTTCCTATCTTTACTCCTGCTCAATTTCCTGTACCTTTCTTTTTCCTCTTTGCTGTAGGATCGCTCTCCCCTTTCATTACTTCTGCTATAAGAACGACGCTTCTGCTCTTTGCTTCTACTATATGATCGATCTTCACGGTAACGTTTATCTTTGGTTCTGATCACCCTACTTTCCAAACGTTCCTTGCTTCTACTACTCGATCTTTTATCTTTTTTAAGATCTCCCCTCTCCTTAGAATGACTAGATCTTCTTTTGTCCTTTCTTGAACCTATGGAGATTTCACTTTTCCTATCTCGACTGCCAGTCCTGGATCTTTTTCTGTTTGATTCTCTAATACCTTTGTTTCGATCCTTCCTTTCTAAACTTTCCCGTATCTCTTTCTGTTTGATAGGACTGGGATCCTTCTTTCTGGCATATGATACAGGTTTTTCCCAACTGGTTTTGCTAGTGGATCTTCTTTCTTCTCTACTACAAGATCTATCTTTTTTCATTTTATTCTTACTTGACGATCTTTGTTTTTTTTCTTTAGAACTTTCAAAATTTTCATATTTTTTCTTGATTGGACTATCTTTTATTTTCTTCTTCTCATCTATTTTCTTTTTTTCAGGGCTTCGGCTCTTCCTCTTTTTGACAGATCGATCCGAAGAAAGAGACTTACTTTCTCGATCACTGTATTTTCGTTTCAAAGAAGTATCCTTACGATGTTTTTGACTTTCTGTTTTGTTCCTAGATGGTGATGGAGAAACATACTTTTTATCGGGGGATTTACCCTTGCCAGATTTCAACTTTTTCTTTTCTTTAGGTGGGGGTGACCTGCTTGGACTTCTTTGTTTCTTTGATTTGGAAGATGCTTTGAAATCTTCAGAATCAGACCTCCTCCTTTTTTTAGAAGATGACTTTTCCTGGCTTTTCTTCTTGGAACTTTTCCCTTTGACTTCAGGAGAACTGAAATATTAAAATAAAACAAAGTAAGCATGAATAATGTTTTATACATTTCTAAAAATAAAAAATATGATAATATAGAGTATCAACAGCATATGGCAAATTAACAGGAAATTTATCTATTAAAATGTCATACTAATTGTTTAACATGAATTATCAGTTTTTGAATAACCATTTAATAGGAACTAACGAATTCAAGAGCAAGTTATGGGTCAATAAATTATTTATAAAACATAACTTCACTAACAACTAGTATTTTTGTCTCCTTAGGAATTAATTTTGTTTTGAACCGCTGAGACTTTTATCAAGAGAGAACTCTTATCAAATATGTCCATTGTTAAGCAGCCACAGAGCCACTTTAGTTCATTAATAAAAATACATTAGATTACATCCGATCATGTGATACATTTCATTTTTATAACTAAATGATCAGATCATGTTGTTGATTTAGCTGCCGAGTTTTATCATTGGCGTTCACAATTACCACAGAAATTAGAAACAATCTGTTAGATAGCCCTGTTTATCATTAGCCCAGCAAAGATAGACAGTTGTGAAGGATTCACACAGTTAGTTCCCACAGAAATGAATTGTTTAAGATAGAACCTTCTCAGAATCATTGACTTTTCAAATATTAACCCTTTAACTTTCCCAAATGACGAATAGAACCCTTTCTCTTATTTTGACATCATCATCGAGCCTCTTTTATTGCTACCCCTAAATTTTCGAAGGCAGTTCAATTTTAGTCATACTTACCGGATCTGGAAAATAGATTTATGAGAGATCTGGAGTATAAGTCTGCCTATGCTGCACAGATGGACAAATATGCTATTTAACAGTTTGGAGAAGATGGTGGGAGGGAACTCACTCTATGATTTGTTTTTGACCGGTCCACAGCTCCAGACTGATATTGCGGAACTTATAGACTATTTCAGATGCTTTCCTGTGGCCTTAACATGCGATATAAAAATGATGTTTAGGTGTATCCGCATTGCTGAAACTAAACAAAACTTGTTACGTTTTTTATGAAGAAATGAATCTTCACAGCCGATCCAGGAGTATAAGTTGGTTACCTCGCCATTTGGGTTGAAATGTTCTCCCTTTATTGCTCAGAGAGTAATCCTGCAGTTATTATGGGAAGAAGGCCATAATTTTCCTAAAGCTACCCATTGTCATGAACACATTTATTTAGATAACGTAATCACTGGTGCTCGCAATAGTGATGAGGCTCTGGATCTGTATAATGAGTTGATAGCCTTATTTGGAGCAGATAGGATTGAACTCAGAAAGTTCTCCGGTAATTCCGAAAAAGTACTTTCTTTTATACTCGAGAGTAGTCAAGAAGTTCTGTTGTGCTTGGATGGAGATTCTTCTTGTCAAGGTTTTGGGTTTGATTTGGGATCCAAAACTCGATCATGTCAGATATTCAATACAGGAAAGTGTGCTTATTTTTACAAAGGTATTCTATCCTTCATTACCAAGATTTTTTATATAAATGGATATATCAGTCTGGTCACTTTCTCTGTTAAATGCATATTACAACGTTTGTGGCTGCTTAAAGTTGATTAGGATGATGAGTTGCCCTCTAGTGTCTTCACCGTGGAAGGTTTTCCTTGAAGAATTTCCGAGCATGAGAAATATTTGTCTGCCTCGTTGCATTGTCAGCCAGAACGCATCATCCATGCAACTAATCGCCTTTTCAGAAGTTTCCGAGAAGGGTTACGGGTGTGTGATTGGATGTCAAGGAGAAGCTACCCAAATTCATTTGTTAAGGGAGAAAAGTAAGGTGGCCCCACTTAAGGTTTAATCAGTGACGAGTTTGGAATTAAACGCTGCTCTTCTTGCCTCTAGACTATTTGGATGTATTGGTAAACTTAAAAGTTGTTTGCAAATTAAGGAAGTATATTGTTTTTCGGATTCTCGAAACGTACTGTATTGCTTACAGACACCACCACATGAACCTAAAATTTATAATGCCAATCGCGTACTAATTATTCCCTTTGAACCTAAAATAAATTTTACCAAATTGTATACAAAATATTTTAGCCAAACGTTATGATTTCCATTTTGGTAAGTTGCTTAAAAACTTATTTACATCAAGAGTAGGTAGGTATGTAAACAGAAATAACTTACATTAATTATTACATCTGTGCACATACTTTCTTCCGAAAACCAAGCCCCAAGGTACTATCATATAATGCTATAATCAATTTTCTATCTCTTATATTCTATGTTTCTAATTGATATAAATAAACAACTTAAACGAACATTGTATTGTATTGTCAATTGTATCATATTCCTAATTTATACAAATTAAACCTTCTACACCATCTCAACGATGGTTGCCAGACCAGAACACGAAGAAACAGCTGTGTTTCCTTTGATAAGCCGCTGGGAGATGATTTCCAAGACTCTTCGTAATTTTTGGAAGAGATGGTATAATGAGTATCTCCACAATCTGGTGCCTCGCAACAAGTGGTGTACTGTCAGAGAAAATTTAAAAGAGGGAACCCTTGTTATTCTACATGAAAAAGATTTTCCACTGCAGGAGTGCCAGCTTGCCAGGATAATAGAGACACTTCCAGGGCCTGACGGTGTAGTTAGGGTGGTAAAATTGAGGACTGCTGCAGCCACTTTGGTGCCACTAGTGTACAAGTTAGTGCCTCTTCCTTCTGGAGAAATCTTTTATGTATATTTTTTTGCTTTAAAGTTAATGAGTCATTTTATTTGAAATGAATTGTAATTTATTAGCATACCTTTGATCTGGCTCACTTTATTTCTAATTTTCCAAAAATCTATTTTGAATAATTTCTCTCTTTCTTTATTGTAAATCAAGCAATTTTCCTCTCGTTTGTGCCTTGTCTGGTAATTACTTATCTCTGAGTTTTTTTTTTTTTTTTTTTTTTTTGACATGAGATATTTCACAGTGGGGGAGATGTTTGTGAAAAGCTATTGTGCCCGATTGTCTCGTTGCGGCGAGTGGTGGGGGCAGATCAGATAAGATCTGGAAGATAAAATTTAATCCACACCAGCTACTGATACAACTGGCCCACTACATCCCAGATATCTATGGAGGCAAGAACTAGCAGACTTGAGGACCCTCGGGTATTATGATGTCTATTCCAGCATAAAGGGGTAAGCCAATTTGCACAATTCATATAACCTATCACTTCGTCAAAATAAAGTCCACTGCATAAATAAGTCGAATCTTGCCTATTTAGAACTCATTAAGAATTATTTTTCTTAGTTAAATTAAAATTGGAAAGTTGCTTTAAGAGTCCTAATATGACAATGTGAACACCATAGGAAATTAATATTCATAATAAAAAAAACAAAACCATAACATACCTCTCCCTAGAAGAGTCACTTTCAGATTTTTTACGCCCTCGAGATCTCTGTAAGCATCAAAAACATTGTGTTATCAACAAAAAAGAAGTAAATTTTTAATTTGCATCCTCATCATCAATCAATAATGCACAGTAATCTAATTTCAATACTCAAATGTCAGCCACAGGAATAAGTAAATAAGCAATTATCATAATCCATTAATGATGAGTCATTAAATAATAATAATTTAAATGGCATTTTTACTGTTATTATCGATCTTATAATTTTAAAATTATAGAAATAAAACCAACTTACCAAAATCACAAAGCAAAGTATAGGAAAAGAAGAGTATCATTGCAAAGGGAAATGATAAAAATGACTTGATTATTAACAATTTAAAAAAAAAAAAATGCAATCACTTAATTTTGAGAACGAATTTGTGCCACATTAAATAGAATAGATAGAGATATAGAGGTATGATTATACTTACTAGATAATCTCATTCCACAGCGTGTGTGAAAACGTCCTTAATAAAGGCTAGCAATATTTGATAAGAGAGAAGAGAGCAATAATTTTGGTTTTCATTAAATTTAACAAACAACTTTGATTTAAGCTCATAATAAAAATTTCAACTAGCAAAAACTATAATAGAGAACGAATAAAACACAATAAAATTTAGAAATAACTGTGATTGCAAGATAATAAAATGTGCAAATGACGCAAATAGATATTTTTTAACATTAACAAAATTTTAGCAATACAGTAAATATAGTATATTAAAAAAAATGTTATATTAAAAAGCATATTTAAGTTAAAATTACATGATACTATAATTTATATGAAAATTATATTGGATACATATTAAAATGTTCGTAGTATTTTCTACATATAAAATTAAAAATATGATCAATAAGAATGTAATCGAAGTTTAACTATCACCAACCAAAAAATCAGTAATAACCAGAGACCAGGTTTTTATGCAGTAACACAACCAATTTTCATTTTTTAATCTGTGATCCAAATATCAACTATATATATATATACATATAAAATTCAGTAGTATGGATATTTCTTGTCTAATAAAGTAATGGATTTTGACAAACAAAATGTCAAAACAAAGGACATATCATGAAGTGACTAACCTCAATTTTAATCCATAAATTTGTACAACTTTAATAAAATAGAAATTGTTGAAAAATGTAAGTGATATCAAAACTCTGATGATAATAAGTCAGCATTAATGCAGCAGTGTGATTTAAAGGCCTAAAACTTATTGTTTAAGTGATAATATAGGAGTCCACCATAAATCTTGTTATTTCAATTCATGTCAATAAAACATATTGAAAAATTAAAGAAACAAGCAAAGCAGCCTTGATATTCTATAGGCAACTCAGATAGTTTATAGAGAAACTTTTTGATATTTTTAATACAAATAAATGGCGTTGGCTACATATTTTAATTTTATTGGTTATTAGATCGTCATAAGGGTAATAATGCTCTTATCCAGATCTAGTATTCATATTGAGAACATAATAAATAAGAAGTATAATCCCAGAATCCTTGTTTTCTGCTCCAACCCCCATATGTCTCAGTGAGTACAATACTATGTTACAAGTTTATGGATAACTGAATCTTATTTCTTACCTGTTAAACTAAAGAAATGTCTTCCAGTAGAGCAATTATGAAGTATACAATTATTTTAATTATGAAGTAAGCACAAGACAAATAAACTAAACCATTACTAAAACACAGTTATAAAGCATATGTAAGCTTCACAATTTGTATGTGTTGAATAGGCTTGGCTTAGATTATAATATTATATTGTTTATATAAATAAACACTTTTCCCTAATTATCACTTAAAATCTGAATGTATTGGATAGAAGGATAGATATTTAATGAAAGTTCTTGCAAGAGCATATTAGTCTTTATAAATTTGAGCATTTAGTTACAATCCAATCTATTTTTATAAAAGTGCACTAATTAATGAATCAATGACAAAAAAAATTAATTTTAAATAGACATTATTTTTATTTTAGTTTTATTAAAATAAATTACAATTTAAAACTAAATGCCAAAGAGAAAAATTCTCTACTCCTAATCAAATGATTTGAGCACTTTATTTGATGTTTAAGATCTATTATAAAAAAATAAATATATTTTAGTCTGGCCAGAGACGGCATACAGTTCACATCACTCCCATGATTCGCAATCATTTATTTGCATAAATTAATCTATTTCATACATTTTTTATAGTTATTTCTCATAATAGTATTTTTTGTTTTTTAATCAACCAAAGTTGCGTCTTATATTTATTTACGAATCATAAAACATAGAAGGTTCGTGGACCACCTGCAGCAGAGCGAAGAGAGGTAGCTAATTCCCTTAAGACGGGAAGTATGAGTATTAAAGACCATCAACTCGCCTTTATTGATAAACAGCACTTTTCCTTGCGTAAGTAAATGTTTTTACCTTTCAATAAAATGGTTTAATTTGAAGATATACTAATTTTTGGTACAGGATGATTAATAAAATTAAACTTGAAAATCTTAAAAACTTATTCAATAGAGCAAAACTGTTTTCATCCATTTAAGTGGTTACATGAAACGAAACAGATGAAGCCTCTATAATTTTCTGGAAATAATTCTGAAGCCTTCTCTATCCAACTGCCAAAAATTTGATTAAAAATTACCTTCCGTAAATATATGAAATATCTCAAAATTGAACCTTTACTATTACATAATCTTCTGTTATAGCATTTTAACGACATTAAAAAGTCAGCTATTCAATTAAACTGAATAGTTAACTAACTATAATCCGTTATTCTTAGTAAATATTTAATAAAACCCTCCAACTATTACATTGTTCGAAATATTGATCTGTATAAATAAAACAAGCCATAAAATTGACAAATAAATTAATATAGTAGCTAATTAATATTAGTATTTATAATTAAATTTATTCTTATGTAAACGAGTAAGACAACGAGTTCAACTCTGTTTGTAACCAACAAAACAAATAAATACACCAATTATAATTTAAATAAAATAAGAAATTCGTGACATGCAAAAAAGACGTGAAACAGCCCGTAGATGCTTTAGACGAACCAAGCTTGCAGATGACTATGAAGTGCTGAGGGTATTCAGCAACTTGATGCAAATAACGATCAGGCAAGAGAAAGCCAATTACTTTCATGAAGCCATCTCCTCTGCTGTCGATTCTAAATCCAAATGGCATTTACTTCGAAAACTGTCTCTTTGCTATCATCTATCATCTTCCTCCTTAGTTGTCTCGGTCTCACCTGATGCTTTAAATTTCTACTTTTTATGCTCCTCCTTTTAGCTCTCCTGCCTCTTCCCATATTTGCGTATCATCTTCATTCAATAGTGACAATTTTTATTTTTCGTACATCACTCCTATAATGAAATCATAATTCGACTCCATTGGATTTGATGGAATACCCGTCAAACTGTTAAAATTATGCCTTCCTGAAATCCTTCCAATCCTTCTTTTCATTTATAACTTTTCCCTCCAAAATTCTGAGGCTTCTCCACCTAATCCGTTTTAGTTAAAATCACAAATGACATACATACTGAAGTGGACGAAAGAAAGCTGACTGTATTGGTATTCCTGTACTTCTCCAAAGCATTAGATTCCTTAGACCATTCTATCCTCTTTGCTAAATTAAAATCTCTATTCTTCTCCCATAGTTCTACCCCATGGCTCCAATCTTTCCTTTCTACTCAAGCTGTAAGTATTTCGAATCAACCCTTATCTTCCTTCCTCACTCTGTCTCATGGAGTAGCCCAGGGTTCAAGCATTTCCTCTCTCTTTTCTAATTCTTACATCAATGACCTTCCTAGTTCAATCCACCATTGCTCATACCATCTGTATGCTGATGACTCCCAAAGTTATCTATCCTTTCTGCCCAATGAGTTATTAGAAGCGTTTACTAATATTCAGAAAGATCTAGATAATATCAGTGCCTGGGCAAGCATGAATAAATTAAAGTTAAACAACAAAAACTCAGGCCATTCTTATAGGTCCCAACTTCCTTCTTGGATCCATTCCCACCCTTCCTTCCTTGATTATTAATGATCAACCAATTTCCTTCATCTCCTCTGTAAACAACTTAGGAATTACCATTGATCAAAACCTATCCTGCAAACCCTATATCGCTCATACCTCCAGAAGATCAATTGGTACACTTGACTATTTCATCATTCTCTTCAGCATCTCCCACAATCTATCTGCAAGCTCCTCGTTTCCTCATTGATTTTCTTCCCCATGACTACAGCGGCCTCTCGTTGGTGCTTGAGGACAGATTGAAGAAAATCATGAACTGTTTTTTAAGATTCATCTTCGGTACGTAGAGAAGGTCTCATGTGTCCCACATATATACCGAGTCAAATTGGCTCTTCCCTTTTTACCGCCACCAATACTTCCTTACAAATTTCTTATACGAGATACCATGTTTCTGACCTCTAATACCCTCTCATAGGATAAAAATCTATGAACGTTCCTACTTATCCCGCTCCATTATCTTCTAGAATTCCTTCCCACATAACACCCATCATGCCTCTTCCCTGCCTTCTTTCAAATGTCTCCTCACATCTCAAACAGATGATCCACAATAATAAAATTTCATTTTACAAATTTACTTTATGAGCAGTAAATGGTAATATCTACTGTTTAAGTTGTAGCAAAAAACATCAATGATTTTTGTCACCTAGTTTGATTATTATTTTTACTATTTATTTGCTTTTTTCATCGCTTCAGGTTTTGCTTTTTTTCTTTCTGGGTGTATATATGTATTATATATTTTTTTAATATTTTTACTATACATATATATTTTTATTTAATATATATATTTTAAAGAGGTAAAAGGTTAAACTTAAATTGAAAATGTTTTTGTATATGTAACTTATTGAAGATGGATATTAATGCTTTAAAACATTCCAGTATTCTATATTATTATTTGTTTTCTAAAATAAAAGATTTTATTCTAATTTTTTTTGTTAAAAAATTTTTAGTTAAAAAAATTGCAATGATTTATAGGTTATTGATTTAAATAATGAATCATTTTAATTAGACAAGAAAGAAAAAAACATCAGTTTTCAAAATCTAAAGTTCTAAATTTTAAGATATATAGAATCCAAAAAAAGAATTCTCTGAGATTGTTGAAAGCCAATTTTGTTTTCAACTTTGGCACCAAAGTTAAAGGGGTTTCATTCAGCCATAAATTGGCCATTTATGGAGATGGAGGAAAAATAAAAAATAAATCTTTTGCAAATCATGGTAAAGTCTAAAAATGTATATATTTGAATAATTGAACTATTTAATTGTATATATTTGAATTTTCTTGTATATTTGGATTTAGAATTTTTTCTAAAATAAAAGCTGGTCTCTGGTTATAACCTGACAAGTATTTCATCACAACTCTCCAACTTTTCTTGTTTATATAAACATCGCATTATATGCAGGGCAAGTGAAATATCTCTTTGAATTTTAGATGATGCTAAATGGTGAAACTTATCTGGCATAATAAAAGAGCCTGACTTCATTTTCCTTTTGCTACACAGAGCCAATTTTTCATGAATCAAAGTTGTTCCATTATCCACAATTCTTTTTCCACTATTAGTATAAGAAACTAATATAAGTTCAACAAAAATCTCTTTTGTGGTTTACAATTTATCAAACGCTGTGATAAATTTTAACAAATTGTTAATTTTACTAATTTATTTTAAATACAAAATTTGATCCCGCTTACCAAATAGCATAAATATACATACTATTCTTATGAACTGATTTGTTTTTAAACCAATCTATTTCATTTTGAAACTGATAGTATATATTTTTTAAGTTTTCCCACTGGAATTTCATATAAGGAGTTTGAATAAAAAATATCTACAAAAAATATAAAAAGAAAATGATATTGTCTACCTGCTTTAGAATTTAATCGTTTCATTGTGCAAATAAAAAAAGTACACACAAGCTATTCTAGATTGAAAATCAAGCTAAAATTTTGTTTTTTTTTTTAATTCAAAATCATCTGGATTTCTGAATAAAAAAACACAGTGGATTACTGGAACATATTTGGTACAAACAATAAAGAGAAACTATAAACATCAATAAGATATATTAATACATTTCTACAGCAACCCGCATATAATGTGTTGTTGCAAAAATAATAAATATTTAAGAATTTATGATAAAATGGGTCAGTAACATCAAAACAAAAGACATAATTCTAAATACTTTAAATTATATAAAACTAATGTAAATATACAATTAGATTTATGATAAACAATTTTATTATAATCATTCATTCATATTGGTCTCCTCATTTAATTTTTAAAATACATTAAGGTTAAAAAAAAAATGAGATGTTATGATAGTCATGGTTATTAGATTGTGATGGGCTTGGGTAAGGAGGTACCCTCAGTGAATCAGAGATAGGGTAAAAGATCACGTGTTAAAGAAATAACAATAAAATTGCTGAACCAATTTCATAGATTCTATTCTAACTGTTTAGTGCTAATTTTCATGTATGGTTTAAGCATTCGATTTAAATGTTTTTTTTATCTTTCACTTCAAATATTACCATTTTATAAGACATCATTTAATTGTTTTCCATTATTTAAGAACTTTTAATTTAAAAATAATTCAAATATTTCTCGTACAGAAATTAATTTGCTATAAATACTTAGAAAATCAGTTTGTTAGATTACTCTAGAATGAATTTTACCACATACCAAACACTTGAAAAGATCTCTAGAATCATTCATGTGAATAATTATCTAAGCACATGTCAATAATTTATTCTATAAACAGATCTTTTTTAAATCAGAAATCAAATCACCAAATGAATGAAACAAATTTGAAGTAATTGAAAATATAAAAAAAAATTTTTCAAGTGTAAAATTTATATAATAAATATATATTACTTTATATCCCAAATTGTATAAATATAAAGAATTATAAAAGAGTTAAGAGTAAACAAATCAAGGGAGACGTATCAAAATGTTGGGAAATATTTCATTTATACATCACTCACCATTTCTTTTCCGTCACCTTTCCCATTGACTTTTTTTTTGTTTGATTTTTTCTTATCATGGCCACTGCTTTCATCACTGAAACATAAGTTCCAACTTTGTTAATACAATATGGTATTAACAAATCAACAAACTCAAATATCCATAAAAAAGTAGATATATCTTCTTAGCACTTCAAGAGAAGTCAAGAAAAAATTGCATTGTAAGAAGAAAGGTGCATATGTTAATGTAAAAACAACAGCTAAGATGAAGTCTAAGGCACAATAATCAACAAGTTGACTGGCATAATGCTTTTCAGAATTCCGATCTAAAAGGTCATATATTATAAAAAAAACTTTAATTTTAATAGATAGTAATCATCAAAGAGTGTTTATTACAAATTCCATCACAGCTGCAAAAATATGGCTCCTAAATAAACCACTGAGTCCGGTAGCATGTAATGAATGCCAAAATGCTAATAAGGTAAGGGTCCACTTAAAATAGGACTGTTCACCTTTAAATTTGTATCGGGACAGTTAGCTATCAAAATAGGATAGATATCTCTTGAGATTGGTCGACAAATACATACAGTCATTTACAGTTGACAAGTCAGAAGAGCAAGAGCTCCTTATCATCGAAATAATGATTTTGTACCCGATATTTGGACCTATTAAGAAAAATAAAGGGAACCAGTGGAGGAGATGCTAAAAAGAGAGAGATAAATAAACTCTATGGAGAAGTAAATATATATTTTATTAAGTACGGTCGGCTGAGATGGACAAATCCTGTTGGATGAAATTTCAAAGAAAACTTCCCTTTTTTAAAAATAAATTGTCAATTAAAAAATTTCTATGACTACCTACCTGTCATAGTCAGATTCCGAACTGCTGTCATCGCTTGAACTTGAGGATGATTGCCTCTTTTTCCTTTTTTTCTTCTTTCTCGACTTTTCTTTCTCTTTTGACTTCTTTTTCACCCTTGGAGATTCAGTTCTAAACATCATAAATAGAGAACTCATGTTATTAAAAAATATAACCTCAACTAAATCATCTTACGGTCGTTTACAACTATAACTCATAAATAAAACATGAATGAACACAACAGAAATAACACCTACACACAACAAACAAATCTACAACCTTTCCTTCCTTCACCAAAAACAAAGTTATAAAATGTGAGAAAAAATTAAAAAAAAGAAAATTAAAGAATATAAAACAGAAAAACAGCAATGAAAATATCTAAGAAAATTGAGGATTCAAACAAAAATGCTCATAATGAATTATACTTACAGTATTAATCAGGCAAGGTCGGTCATGGCAAACAAAATTATCTATCGTTAATAACCTCATAAAAAATAATTTTGCAAATAAATACTACAAAAATAAATTTAATTTCTGAAACTGATATGAACCTCCGAACCAGCGTATAGATTTGTCATAATATACATTTGAACACCAATTCTAAATATAAGGCATAAGCATTACACACTAGTATTAGGCTTAAAAACAATTTAGTCACAAGAGCAAATTAAGGCGGGGGAGTAGGATGGCTGTTACCATGGAATAATAGAAAAGTTGTGAGAAATTAATAAAATTTTATTTTGGTTACAATAGGACAAATTCAAACTTCAAGTCTTGAGTCTCTCAATTGCAAGTTGAAGAGCTAACCCATCAATATTTCCCTAATTCAGGCATCATCAGGAGAGAACACAAACTAAACCACATGTATTCAAACAAAATACAACACATATCTAATCAACAGTCAAAAACACACAAATTAACTAAAGACAGCACATGTTGTGTGTTGCATTTTTTTTAATATATGTGATATAGGTTGTTTTCTGTTCTGATGTTGCCTTCCTAAATAAGCAAAATGTTGACCGGTTATTTAGTATGATCTACATTTTTGAGACTCAAACCTTTGTGTATGGAGTTTTCTAATTATACCTTAATGTTTAATAATTAATGTCCCTTTTTGCATTTTTATTTTGTTGCATTAATATTTTGTAACCTTTGAATGTTAATGTTTCAATTTTATATTAATATAGGAATTAATCATTTCCAAATTCATTATATTACTTAGTACAACTAATAGACAATGTGCCCATAATGAATATCATCATAAAATTAAATAGATATAAGTTTATAATTTCAAAACAAAATTATCACGATAAAATTAATTGGAAGATTTAAATGAAATGACTTTTTTTTTTAACTTTACAAAATCCTTAGTTTTGTAGCTAACATAAGACAAAATATTTACCCGCCTTATTTTGGGCCTGAAACTAAATAAAAAAAAAGAAGAAAAATCATGAACATATTACGGTTAACAATTTTAATATTAAAATATAAAAAAAAAAAAATTAAAAACAGCTTCAATTTCAGCTGGTTAAGAGGAATAGTTTTCAAATCAAAACCGAATGAAAAGTAGGGAAAGAATAGTTTAATGGGAATACTTAATAAACAATTCAAATAGGACAAAAAGCTGAAATTTGAAATATTAATTTAATATATAAAAAAACTAATGATAACATTTATCTCCATTCATCGAAAAGGTGATCAAATCGGATAACTGACGATGAATTGAATGTCTTGAGTCGTTACAATATGTACATTATGTCATACGCATTGTATGCGTATCTTACCTGAACATGATGACTTTATTTATCCTTTAAAGTGTACTACGTGAAACAGAAAATGGAGGTATTACTTCCAGCAAGCTAACTACTATTAGTCTTTAAGATTCAGTAATATTTAGTACCTGTCTCGTTTATGCTTCTTTTGTTTCTTCTTCTTCTCCTTCTTTGATTCTCCTCCAAGTTTTCTAAAATAAATATATTTAATTTAATATATTTTGAAATTAACATAAGATCTATTATTAACATAATTCGAGGTTTCAAACTAATATTATTTCCATTGGTTATTTAAGTTTAGAGTTACTATACAAAATATTTGTGTACTGTCAACTTAAAATTAAAATAAAATTGTATGAAATACCCAGTCCAATAAAATTAGCATAATTTTAAGGTTATATTTATTTATTATAAGAAGCACCAAAACTCAATGAATTGGGTTTCAAGAAAATTTGAACTCAGCCATCTAGAGAATTCGGGTATTCTTTTGTATTGAATGAACACAGAACCAAGACAGTAAGCCGAATAGTTAATAACTTACTAAGGTTTTTCAATAAAAAAAAAAAGACAAAACTTCTATGAGATGGGTTTACTCCATAGTTTACTACTATAATATAGTAGTTGACTGATGATTATAAGGATGAAACTAAATTATCAAGAATTTCAGTCGAAATTTCTGTAATGGGTTAGCCAACGCTTTGATTCAAAGATGTTGGTCATTATCAGTGATGAGAGTTAAGAATAACAGTAACAAGATAATAGTAATAAGAATGGATAAGCAAGATAATAGTAATAAGGATAAAATATAAAATCAGCAAAATGATGAATGTAAAAGTATATGGTGAAATGAAATTCTTTACTCTTATTATCTTGTTACTCTTATTCTTCACTCATATTTAAACTTTTGCAGAACTTTTAAGAAAAGTTTCATTTTAACAGTCTCTATGAAACTTTAGGAAAAACGTTCAATTTTAACAATTTCTGTGGAACGTTTTAGGAAAAAAGTTCGAAGGTACTTTTTTATAATAATGTACCAGATTTTAGGTAAAAGTATTATTTATTCAAGTTCTCAAAAAAAGTTCTGTTAAATGAAAAAAAAAAAGAGTAATTGTACATAGATTAGAGTTAAGAGAATTGGACATGATTTTAATGTTAATCTTATATATTAATATTAATGTTAATCTTATTTGTTATTTAATTATAACAATAAATACCTGGGAGGCGAGGGGGATGGTGAGTGAAGGATCGGGTATTTCTTAGAATCAACTTGTGCCTCGCTCCCATTCCTGTTTTCGTCGAAGTGCTCAGTAATGCCAAACGCTTCACGCAATCTAGCATTCTTCTCTTGTTGAGCAGCAGCAATCTGATGAGTTTCACGGACACTGAAACAGGTTGAGTAATATGCAAAAAATCATAAAAAATCTCCATTTATGGTTTAGATAATTTAACACGGACAGAAAAAAAAAGGACTAAAAGAATTCATGATACTTCAATAATACTATTAGAAATGTCAATAACCCACACACACATATATATATATATAATCTTGCTAAACCATAAACAAAAAAAAAAAAAAGAAAAAAAAGAAAAACATTTAACACTTTATTGTGTAGGGCTACTTGTGCTCAAATTTAACATCACAGTTCCAAGAACTTTTCTCAGTATGAACAAAACTATCATTTGCTTATCAAAAATCATGCTAAAAGAAATAAGATGGGACCTGTTTATCTCAAAGTACACTGAATGACAGCTTTAACTTGATTTCTGACCATATCAGCTCCCCTTATTTAGTAATTATTATTTAAAAAAGCAAAAAAAAATGGATTATTATATAAATACTGTGTTTTTATTATAGTAAACAAAATATAAAATTACAATATTTTTATGTAAATCGTCTAGAATGATACAGTGATGTATCAAATCCACCTAAACTTAAATCAGCTCTTATACCTTACATATTGGCCCAAGCAGCTACATTTTATTTTCCCCTATATCTAGGGAAACTATTAACTTAACCAAGACATTTTCCAGTTTATCTTTATATAGAATGGTGAAGAAAAACAGTTAAAATGACGTACAAGTTTTCCTAGGTATTCTAAACATTTTATAACACTATTCATTATTAATTTGTCTAAATGCTGGATATGTTTTCAGCAGTATTATTGAAAACTCTAAATGTAAAATCATTAAAAAGGCGCAGAAAGTGTAGTGGGCCACATGCGACTTTATTAAAAAAATAATGGACCAAGAAATGAGTAGACATTACAATAGGTTCTATCTTTGCTAAAAATCAACCAATTTCAATTTTATTTTTTTGCCTTTTCATTTTGCAGGTAATTAATAAATTTTTCTACTTATCATGGGTATAAGCAGCGGTAAATTGTATATTTTTTTGAGGAAGATGGTCCTGGATGGCAGCCATAAAAAGACTAAAATAGTGAAAAGAAACTATTTTATTTCAAGCCAAAGTTTCGACCCTCGACCATCTCCTTTCTTTTTGTCAACCAACAAGTATTCTATATTTTTTTGAGCTGTGGGCAAATAAGTTCCTCCTAACTTTTTTTGCAGGCTGATTTGCTTATTTTTTCTACCTGAAGGAGAAGGTTATCTTCAAAATCATAGCACAATTATTTGATTTGATAAAGAATTAACAAAGGTGTGGGGCGGACTGACAAAAAACGTCTTTGAAAAATAGTATATGGCTAATGTTAGCGTAAAAGGTGACATTTTGAAGTCTGTAACTGCTAAAAGTAATCTACTAATTAGGAAAATAGCAGGGTAAATAAAATATCAAATTATATTGATAAAACTTAAAGAACTAATAGATTTTTATAATGCTCTTCTATAAAAAAAAAAACTCAATCTTTATATAGGAACTTTTGCACTAACAGTAGCGACATAAAGATTGTTTGATGATTAACTAGTTCCCATAGAAACCTGTTCACTTTTTATTATTTTTTTAGAATTATCAAAAACTATATATCTCCTGGAATACAGCGGTTGTTGAGTATAAGGATACCTAATTGTATACAATCTAAACCTAATATATACAAACCAAAAATAAGAGTAAAAAAATTGATAACATCGTAGGAACATCAGAACTGTTATTCTCCTTTGTTTACCTCTTCAAAAGATTTATAGTTTGTCTTAAACTATAATAAATAGAAATACTTTAATTTTTAAAAACCTAAACAAAACATGATAAGTATCTCTATGCGACCGTGGTGAAGCGACTTTCGGAATAAATTACGTTTTATCTCGAAAATGGCATATTTTTGGGCTCAGAAACGCAGGGTCCAGGTCCACTATGTTCAAGAGAACCAATCCAGGTTTTGATGCCCTCGTCATTCATAACCCAATTTGTTCCATTTCGATTCATTGACGTATCAACTTCGGAGATTTTAAACATTATTTTTTCAATGATTTTTATTTAAGTTGTGATAGTAATTTCATGATCGAAATTGGAATTCATCACTTCTCTATGAAATTTCCTTTCCATTTTTACCTCATGAATGATCAATACTCAATCGATGACTATCAGAGGACAATTAAAAACCCGAATGACCTGATTTTTGTAGGAAACAAGTGTGCCAACAGTAAGTTGGACATACAGCTGCATTGATAAAAAAAAATATAAGAAAAAAAAAAACATCGCGTGTTCCATACCAGCAAACCGGATCGATATTATGGGGTAGTAGGAACAGCTGCTTCCAGTTCGGTGTCTACCCTCAATTATCGAACCTGCAAGTGTCACCGAATGTATTCGTAGATTATACGGAAAGTTTACAGCAAATAACAAAACGCCAGTAGGTGCAAAAATAAAAATAATGAGGCCAACAAAAAAACACGTTTTTAACTCTAAAACTTTCGATTTCCGTTTAATTCTAATTGGATGATTATAAGATAAAGATACAACGTTTATGCAAGTTTGTTAATGCATTAAAATTGTTCTTACATGCTATTGCAGCGAAGTTGTCGATATATTACTTTTCATATGCTGATGCTAACATTCACATCTGTGTGCAACGGAAGGCGGAATTAATAAAGGAAAAAAAAACAACGGGAAAACACTGCAAAATAGTATTCTCTGTGTGGCTTTAATATTATCTGTAATCCTTTGTCAGCTATATTATAATGAGCTAATGTAATAAAAAAAAAACAATGATAGTTATTTATCATAATAATCCGATTAGTGTTAACAGGTGATGAGTATGCAGATAATGTTAATAGAGCATACCTAAGAGACAACTTATCAATAATTTAATTTTTTAAAAGATGAAAATAATGTAATTTATAAATGAATTTTAATCATTGATTTTATTTTATAAAAGGAAAAATAGGATGCTAATTTAATTTTTTAAAAGATGAAAATAATGTAATTTATAAATGAATTTTAATCATTGATTTTATTTTATAAAAGGAAAAATAGGGTGCGGACAACGCTGGAACCGTCTTGTGAAGAATATGTATATATGTTTTTTTCAGCCTAAATATTATTTTAGTTTCCAGAAGTAAATCAATACATTAAGGTACATGATTTTGTGTCCGGGTGTGAACAGGGGTGTCCATCTCCCTCCCCCCAAAGTCGATCGATGGCGTAAGAACCTATCTCCCCTACCAAGATATTTTATTGCTCACTTTTCTTAAAAGCAGAGCAAACGAAGGTAGAATTAGAAAAATCGTGTATCATATACAAATACACATGGTCCTATCTGCTCCATGTTTTCTGATTGTTCCTTAATATGAAAATTCATAATTCCAAATGCATCTCTCCCTAAAAAAAATTCACAAACCTGCCAAAATATGCCCCCTCAAAAAATTTGTTGGCGCAACTTGCGGCATGATACCCTCTTCTGGACAACCCTGGATTCTAAAACGTATGAATCAGTCGCTTCCGAATCAGGGATGGGATATCGAAAGCCTAATATAGAGAATCGATATTATAAAAAATTTTACCAGTAATTTTGTAATATTGGTATCAATATAAATATTGATACCAATAGCACGTAAGCGCATCAAAAAATATGTTATTTTTCTTTTTCGAATTAATTAATGGAAAAACCAATTCTTTTGAGTCAAATTAATTTCCTGGTCCTTGTCCATTTTCTTCATAACGTAGGTTTCCCCCCTAAATTTCCATTGAACCACTTATTATGCCTTCCATTCAACCATAGATCGGATTCAGCGAAATACTAATTTATTTGCATCCCAAATAGATTTCTTTGACAATTCGTGGTATTTATTTGAAAAGGTTCTACAGCAAATAAAATTACACTAAGAAGTCACTCACAACAAAGTTATTTATGTTTCAAATGAATGAACTTTATCGTAGGTCCTGTGGTTTTAAGTCCTACGCGCGCTATTCAACTCTACTACGTACTGCAATCTATATGAGAACATCAGTATGGAGTTCCACACGTGACTCAAACTATAAAAAAATTAGAAAGAGTGCAAAATCTGTGAATGAGAATCATAAAGATCCTCAGATACACAAGAATAATCAACGATTCAAACGATAAACGTTTTGTAATTTCAGACAGTTAAACAATTCATATACTCCCAGATCGAGACATTTTTTAACTTAATAAATACTTCAGTAAACACTTTAATTAAGACAACAATTAAAGTTTAAGAAGATACAAACACAGACGTACAAAATATATTTTACTTGGATACAAACTGACCAAAATAAAACTGCACAAAATATTACATTACTTGACATAAGTAACATAAATTATATTTTTTATTAAAATGTATATAGTTTTTATTTTATTATTATTGTTGACTTTATTTATATACTAATTTTATTTTCAGGATTTATTTTATTTGTTATTTATTTATGTTTTTCATAATTTTTCCTACTGTGAAAGAACAAAGAATGTTACTAAAGTTTATATTTTTAAATTTACCTTTAGTATGAAATGTTGTACCAAAACATGACCTATTTGTATGTACATTTTAAATTTATGTAAATAAACATCTTATTATTATATGAGCACAGGCAAGATGGGTATACTTTTTTCCAACGATCGATATACAATCTCTACAGATTTCCGAAAAAGATTTCTATCCGCATCTGTCATGATATTGGCAATCAGCTTCGTTGTGATAATGATTAGCATGTCGGCCTGAGGAAGAATAGAACCCAGTAGCATCTCTTCCTGGTCGTTATTTACTTCCTTGATTTAGATCTCTCATCCAGGTCCTTTCCAGTCTCATCCTAATGGACATGTCAGCCATGGCCATGTCTTTAATAAGTCTGTTGTTGTGTCCATGTAGTTTGAGATGAAAATGAAAGTAGAGAGTACGTATGTGTTGGTCGATAGTTGGTTGTAGTAAGTCCTAATGTAAAGTTTTGTTCTTTACGTATCAAGAAGCTCCT